ATACAATTTTCAACCGGACAGTGACTCGAGAACGTTTAGATACAGTCGGAATTCCACCAAAGACGAGCCGCTGTATAAGTATAAAAGAGGGTGAATAATGTGGAAAATAATAATAATAATGATAATAATAACAATAATGACAATAATAGTAGTAATGATAATATTAGTATTAATAATGACAATAATTGTAATGATAATAATCTGAATCAATTGTTTGTTTTTCAAAGCGACAAAAGTAATTTCCATAGACATAAAGCGTTCATCATTTGTGTGTGGGCTGTGATACTGCCCGGGTGCCCAAACCGAAGCAGGTGGTTATCTTAGGGGGCCACTCCCCGAGCCTTTGACCTAAAGGTCTAACCCACAAGGCAGTGGAGCATCGTAAGGAGATGCAGTCCCATGGTAGCCGGTGACCAACGATTGGTTCATACGCCATTCGTTCCCGCAGGATACTGGAGCCCATGTGCACCATTGATTTGGAATCCGGTTAAAGCGCCGGACATTCGCTTTTCGTCCTCTCATTTTCGTAAACAACACCCCCGCCACGAGAAGGCAATGAGCAGGACTTTCCTGGAGGAGGCTGTATACGCGTGGCCGTGTGAGAGTATTTCGAGAGGGAGAGCGGACTCTCCCCACTCTCGGCCGTACCAGGGCATTCTGGGAATTCTTAACCTTTTCTTTGAGTTTACGTAACTACGCTTAGATTATGACGGTGAAATATTTGAGAAGGATCACAAAACAAATAGAACGAGATTTTCAAAATCTGAATTTCAGAGTAAATTTTCAAGTTCTAGGCATAATTACAACGTATACGGAAATGTGTAGTTCGATCGATAATACAACAATAAAGAATCTTCACCAGAACAAAGCATCTGTCCTGATATCTGATGCATTCAAGTATTAAAAATCAATGCGTACGATATTTAACACTTCCGTTTGATCCCGACTGTTGTTGCTACCTTGACGTGGTGGTCGGGCTTGCCTATCGTGATAAAGCAACCGAGCTATACTGGTTGGAACAACCGTTCCTCAAGGTCCTACCATGTCAGACAGGTCGGTTGAAGAGCGGTAAGACTAAAAGCAACAAACCCAAGGTCCGAAGGCGAAGTCGTACTGCTGACTGTACAGAGGTGTGACAGCAGTAAGGTGTTTCCTTCAGACAACCAGCATGACAGCGATGCTGCCTTCCCACAAGGAGGGGTGGGGTTAGAAAAGGTCGACCCTAAAAATGCACACCTCACCTTACCTCACGGATTTCCGTCTCCGGCGGTAAGGCCCTTTGAAGAACGGAGCTAAAACGTCAAAAACCTCCCACGAAAAGGCCGTGCGCGACCGGTCTCAAGCAGTTGTCCCTTGGGCACTGCGGTCACGCTCTCAGGTCACTAAGACCACTTCTAATCCAATTTCCTTTTCAGGTACCTCTAGAAGAACCCTTCCACGGTGTGGGCAACCGGGAAGTGATAACCGCCCTCATACCTCTAACAGCACCCAAGACCACTGTATTCATAATCAACCTTCCTCTTCAATTCCTATTATTCCTCCTACATCGACTTTCAACCCTAAACTTCCTCCTTCGGCTTCCTCCTCAAGTGTCACCATAGCCAACGATTCTAGTGCTCAAAACTCTGTCCCAGGTTTACTGAAACCTCGCTCCAAACTACACATTGGAGCTTTCAACGTACGCACTCTATGTCAAATCGGTCAGCAGGCTTCCTTGGCTAAAACCCTAGAGTCTCTTTCCATTGATGTATGCTGTGTCTCCGAAACACGCACACAGGATTCCAGTGTGGTCATTCACTTGACCTCACCTCGGCAAAACGGAGAGCCAACGAGATACACCCTACGTGTATCTGGTGACCCGATGGCCAGTTCTCGTGGACTGGCAGGTGTAGGCATAGCACTAAGCATGAGGGCGGAACAAGCACTGCTAGAGTGGATCCCCGTCAACAGTCGTCTATGTGCTGTTCGGCTAAACGGCTCCGTAAGAACTCGGAAGGATAGGGACACACGTCGTTGCCTTTTCGTCGTTTCTGCCTACGCTCCCACTGACTGCAGCTCAGATGATGTGAAAGATGAAGTTTACAGAAAGCTGTCCGAACTTCTTCAGAAAGCTAAACGCTCAGACATAGTACTCGTAGCAGGTGACTTTAATGCTCAAATAGGTAGCTTAAACCAAACAGAAAGGCATTTAGGTGGATATTTCAGTATTCCGGCACAGCGAACAGATAATGGTGATCGTCTGCTGCAACTGTGCTCAGACAATCGTTTATTTTTAGCAAACACAAATTTTAAGCATAAGGAGAGACATCGTCTAACGTGGCGACCGCCTGCACCAAGCCAACGATGGACTCAAATAGACCATATTGCCATCAGTCATCGTTGGAGAGGGTCGGTACAAGATTGTCGCTCATTCTGGAGTACCTGCTTGGACTCCGACCACGCCCTAATACGGGCACGCATCTGCTTGCGCCTCACTGGACGCAAAAAAGCCACAGTAAAAAGACCCATTAGAACCGAACTGAGTAGCGAGGAAACCAAAAGTAGGTTCCAGGAACAACTGAGGTCACGATTAGGTAGTTCTGAAGACGAGGCTGACCCAGATGTTGCTTGGAATGAAATACAAGCAGCTGTGGAAGCAGCAGTGACATCTATTAGCGACTTAAACCACAGAGTTACAAAGAACCAGTGGGTTTCTTCAAAGTCTATCACACTGATGGATTCTCGCAAAATCGTCCCATCAGGTTCCGAACATGATGAAGAGCGACAACAAATCAGATCTAGGTTAAGAAAAAGTCTAAGAAACGACCGTGAGCAGTGGTGGGCAACGAAAGCAAAAGAGATGGAAAAGGCGGCGACTATAGGGAACACAAGACAGCTTTACAGACTAATAAAAGAAACTGGAACTAATAAGTCAAGTGTAAGTCAGACTATTTCGGAAAAAGACGACACCCTCATCTGCTCTCAGTCCAGACGTTTAGAACGATGGGCGGAACATTTCAGAGAACAGTTCAACTGGCCTTCAGCTACTCTACAACTACCCTCCATTCCCAGACAGTGTGAATGGAACATTGAAGTAGGTCCCCCAACTCTTGCTGAAGTTCAAAAGGCTATAGTTAATCTAAAACGAGGAAGGGCAGCTGGTCCAGATGGATTGGCTCCAGAGGTCTTTAAGGATGGTGGTCCAATTTTAGCGATTAGGTTGACTAATATTTTAGCTAAAATCTGGGAGTTAGACGTTATTCCATCTAACTGGTCACAATCACTTATCGTCCCAATATATAAGAAAGGGTCAAAATCATCCTGTGACAACCACAGAGGGATTAGTCTAACTAATATAATATCTAAAATACTAGCCTCGATAATTATCAGACGCCTAACTAAGACTCGTGAACTGCAAACACGAGAGAACCAAGCTGGCTTTAGACCTGGTCGTGGCTGCAACGACCACATATTCACCATTCGTCAGATTCTAGAACACAGGCATACTTATCGGCGTCCGACAATGGTGGTCTTTCTTGACTTAAAAGCAGCATTTGACTCGGTAGACCGCGAGATTCTGTGGCAGTGTCTGTCATTGAAAGGCGTACCCCAGAAGTACATAAACCTTGTAAAGGCTCTTTACTCGAACACTACTAGTCGAGTCAGAGCTTATGGCGAACTGTCATCTACTTTTGCAACCTCAAGTGGTGTCCGTCAAGGCTGTCCACTTTCCCCATTTTTGTTTAACTTCATCATAGATCTACTGATGGAAATAACTTTCTCGTCGACTGAGTTCTCGGGTATTGATCTCCATCCAGGAGGTCCACTAATCGACTTAGAATACTCAGATGACACAGTCCTGTTTGGTGAAGACACTGATAAAATGAAGAGTCTTCTGGTAGCACTGAGCAACAATGCCAGGATGTTTGGAATGCGCTTCTCTCCCTCTAAATGCAAGTTGTTGCTTCAGGACTGGTCTGCGTTAACACCTGAACTAAGGATAGGGAGTGAAGTAGTCGAACGCGTTGACAACTTCACTTATCTTGGAAGTCTGATCAGCCCTAATGGGTTGGTGTCTGACGAAATCTCAGCACGGACTCGAAAAGCTCGATTGGCTTTTGCCAACTTACGTCACTTATGGCGAAGGCGAGATATCCGTCTATCAATAAAAGGACGAGTATACTGCGCGGCAGTCCGTTCTGTTTTAATTTACGGCAGCGAAACATGGCCATTAAGAGTAGAAGACACTCGTAAGCTATTAGTATTTGACCACAGATGCCTTAGAAATATTGCTGGTGTCTGCTGGGATCACCGGGTAAGTAATAGTGAGGTTAGACGCAGGGTATTAGGGCATGATGGTAAATCAGTTGATAAGGTTGTGACATGGCGTAGGTGCATACACTCCCTGTCTTCCCTTAAACTAAGAGATTAAAATCGCTTCATATCTTTCTTTCTACGAACCAATTCTTTCTTCTTGTACTATATCTCTATATGCAATCTTTCTCTTATATATTACTACTTTTGACCTAACCACTGCTATGAATCCGGTGTTCATCTTGTTGTGCTGATGCGGTATGGCAACCTGGACCGATGCACATATGTGCCTGGTCCTACGTTGTAGCTGACTGACTGACTGACTTCCGTTTGATGTGATTCCATTTAGATGAGAGAGGAAATGGATACAGATATGCAGTATATATGCAGTAAACATCTAGTCTCTCCTGCTTCGGTTTGGGCACCCGGGTATTATCACAGCCCTCACACATATCAAATGAGATTTGTGTGGCACATATATATTTGATGCCTCCTTGTACCAATATCTATGTGTTAAAATAAATAAATAAAATAAACATCTAGTCTGAAACAGATATGAAACTCAATGTAAATAATATTTTTACGTCTTTTATAATGTATATTAATAGAGTATGAATATTACCGGCTATTATAGTTATTGCATTACTAAACCATCAAAACTGATATCAAATTTTCCACTGAATAGCTATTTAATGAAAACGACTTACTCAAAAAGTTTTGATCCGCAACATACACAAAGGTATTCACCCTTTTCTTTATTATGGTAATATTCACCGGTGAACGGCTACATAAAAATTTAAATCGAAATCCTGTAATTACTGCTTCTGTGCCTTTAAGACGAGCCACTCGATACTGTTCGGCGTTCAAAACACATTTCCACTCTTCGTCTGACTTTTTCGTAGACATTCTGAAAAAGAAACTTGCGTTAACACGTGGGATTTTACTTAATGATTACATGAAGCTATTCGTCATCTCACCTGAATAATTGCATACAAAAGATAACTGAAGTAACACTAAGACGTTCAAGTTCGTTTATACCTAGAACTCCTAAAACAGAAAAAAACAGTGGATGGAATTATTTTACAAACCAACATACTAAGCTCTGAAAAAAGTGTATTTTAGCTGTGATACTACCCATTGGTTTAGAATTAAGTATCAAAATCAGTAACCACAACGGTACTAATGTTTTGGACGTTAAATAACTCACAAAAATCCCACAGAATCAATAAGTTCACATTTACTAACCTTTGAAAAATACAGACGAGTAATTATACCAAAGAGAAGACGTGTCATTTAATCGTGTATGTTTACAATTAAAAACCAACAGGTACTGGTTCCTGCAAATATATAATGACATCAGTATGTCGTGAAGTCTTATTTTCAGGTAAGGGGATTCGCTGAAGACTAATTGTCAGTGTAAGAACAACGGAAAGCACCTAACCTATACAGATATTACTTATGAATTTAATCTAAACACATCAGTGTTTTGTGGGGAGCATACATTCAAGTGGTTACAGATGAGCCTTGAGTCAATCACAATCAAGAGAATCACATGTTTATTCATTTAAAATGCAACACTTTCTATAAGCGCAGGGATACGACAATAAGAAAACGAACATCGTTTTCGAATACATACAAGCATGAACATTTGAAAGCTGATATCATTAAACGGGTAAATGTCGTCATATTTATTAAAAATGAAAGTGACATAAATTCTTATTGCACAATCATTGATAACCAAGCAATCAAAATTCAAAACCCAAATAAACCACTAACATATGTCAGTCGAAAATATGTTGAACGTAAAGTAAACGATTGGGAGAAGACTGAGCACAAATAAGTCAAAACTTTCAATCAAAGCAATAAAATAGCATAGCAATGTCTCAGAATGTCCAAAGAAATGGTTGACTTGAAGTCGTAAATTTGTGTGGACGACGTTAAAAACCATCAAATGTCTACAACCATACCACACTGTTGCTGCTATCTTGACGTGGCGATCGAGCTTGCTGAACAGGCAGGTTATAACAGTTGGAACAACAGTTCTACAAGCTCCTACTGTGCCAGGCAGGTCACTTGAAGAGCCGTAACGACCCCAATGTCTGAGTGCTAAATCGTACTACGGACTATAGAGTTGTGACAGTAGCAAGTAAATTTTCTCAGACAACAAGCATAACAGCGATGCTGCATTCCTAAAAATGGAGAGAGGGGTTCGAACAGGTCGATGACATCCTACATAACATCCATTATAAGTCAATCTATAAAAAATCTTCGAACATGTGGGAACCAGGAAGTGATAACCACCCCCATACATTTGAAACCACCAAGGACCTGTAAAAGCCCAAATCAATAAGTAAAGCGCTTTGAAAACACTCTTTAAGCTCCAGTAAAATGGTTATACTAACCCTCATACCTGCATTTATCGATGTAGCAACCACAGAATAATAGTGACAAATAAATCCAGGAAATAAATGTCTATATTTATGCGAAATTATATTATTCATCTCAATCATTAACGTCTCTGCTAATATCCATTGAGTTAACTTATACATTGAGTACAACGCATATAACAGTTGGATAAAATTGTCACCTACTTGTGTCGTCCCAAGTTATCTTTAGCACTGATTGTTTGGTTTAAATCCCAAACTAGTCTAAATGTTTTTTATCGTCTGCATGAATAAGGTTCTGATATATCGGCAATCAGGGATTTTTCTCTCCCAGTGAACTGGTCTAACACGATAACTAAGTCTGTTGAAAAGACATTGGGGAGAACTCGATCCTCGTAACATGAATTAACAACTCTTACATATTATGGTCGGTTTCAATAAGGACACCTCAGAGATCCCTATAGATGATCTGGCGAAATTCGCTTTCTGGAGTAGGATATGGGATTTTTAAAACGGAACACCATCCAGCCAACAACTTATCGGGTCTTCCATAGCATTGGAGAAGCTGATTCGCTGGAAACACAGGGAGGATAAAACGGATCGAAATCGTTATTCTATTATATCTAGAGAGCTGATATAAGAAGCGATGGACTCTCCATAAATTTACTGTGAAAACTTATTTACGCTTGCGGAATGTGAAGGGTAAAACACGAAGCAAAATGTGGAATGCAAGTTCAGCAACACCCAAGTTTATAATCATCCATGCTAACACCACTAGAAATTGCAACATAAACGGCTAAATATTTTTCATGTAGGAATATTAAGCTGGAGGGAAACTCAAGCTTCAGGCTAAAAAGAAAATATATTAACAAATCTACTTATGATACCCAATGATCACATTACATAAATCTTTGAGTAATTGAGGATCTGCATTGTGTCAGAAGCAAGTCATTAGTGAACAGGAGTATTGGGCTACGTATACCGTACACTAAATCAAATAGTTCTCGAAGCAAGCGTCGGGACCAATGCAGATATCGTCAACATGAAGTAGTTATTAATGGATACTTAACAACATGAGCGATATAATGCGGCTTACCGAATTTAAACCCCAGCTTATAGGAGTCTACAGGGATGTCGAAACCTACACTATCAAGGCTATCACACCCACCATACCATACAGCAGGTTGATAGCCCCATGAACTCAAATTTTCAGTGTCAGGCGCATCTTTCATATCCCTTAAAACCCGGCTAACAATATATTTCATGCGTCCCACGTAGTGTGGGACTGGTAGTCACAAACATCTCATGTCGTCTTCAAGAAGGGAAAGTCAACGGTTCATCTACACCGATGAAGAAACTGTCATATATATTACGAGGGCGTTGGACAGAGACATTCACTAGAGATCACTGTAAATGAATCAGGGGACTAGGAAGAGACGGGAATAGAGTTGAAAGTTAGGACCTTAATGCACAACACCCTTGAGCAATGAAATGACCTTGACAAACTGACCAGCTGCTTATATTTTGCGCTGATGTTTCTTCAATCCGAATCATTCAATGACTGTGCGTGAGGTATAACAAGCTCTTATCTAACGAGCTCTTGTTTGTTTTAACAACTGGTCACTAATTTCAACAAAGAGATGTACAGTTATAAGTATCAAACAGAAAAGGATGAAGTTGAAGATGCCACTGGTATTCGTAGTTTAACAACACTTTAACCAGTAACACCTAATGTGAGTCGTACCCACCAAATGAAATCAAAAGCAGAAGCGAGGAGGTTCTAAGGTATATTTCATAGGCTATCAAAATATCGGGGATCGACTGGTCTAATCTGGCTAGCGATTGCATCGGATGTTGAGCACCGGCTACACCCTACCGTTTGTTTATAGTTTAACTAGAAAAGAAGGTAAGATGTGCTGGGGATGATTCCATTCTCTAAACACTCGCCCTTGATTTGAATATATATTTGAGAATAATGATCTTGTGTTTTGAAATGCTCCATCTTTTTCTTTCTTCCTAGACCACAGGTAAAGTTTCTCTAATCAGGACATCCATATCGGGACCGATTCAAAACTCGTCGGATCGAACAAGCTTTCGGGTACAACTTGATAGTCGCATCCACCAACGCTCAGAAGTATTTTACCTTGTACATCAGCCGATCTTCCAATTCCAACATTTTTCAACTCGGTACCTCTACCTACACTAGTGACACATTCTTTGTTGTCCGTGATCAAATTGTCAGTGGAGATATAATCAATTGTTCTACACCTTAAAAAACACATTCTTCTGAGACAATAGTAGTTTGGAAGAAAAGGCGATTTGGGGTTTCAAGTTGAAGCTATAAGACGAGCATTTCAAAGTTCTTCAACGCGAACCCAAGTACTATATGATCGATAAGTACGGAACCAACGATAGAATCAGCATCGGTCGCCTCAAAGCTGCGTATTTAGAATAAAATTCTATTCACTTGGATTTTCCTTTGGTACAGTCAACGTTATGTCTCCTACACCTATAATACCTCATTCGACAGTCAAGACGCATGATGATACTTCGGCTTTATCGGAATATAAACTTAAAACAACGCGCTCTTGAAGAAGACTAAGATTTTTAGAACATTTGAAAGACTTTCGCAGGTAAGATATCAGCTGACATTTTATTTTATCTCTGTTTTCCTTTGTACTATATATATTTTAAAAAACTAATTTTGATATGCTTATATATTTATATTTTTATTGAAAAAACAATAAACAAGCTTTTCGTAAAGATTTGTTTTGGGCTATCACGTGTGCATGAGTTTATTTTTTTTATTACGCCCGCTTTAAGTTTTTACGCATGTACGCGTGTATTTCGACATGTACTTGCATCACTTATTTTTCTTTCTCAGGACAGCTGGAAAAGACGAAAAAGAACGACGAAGTTTAGGATGAATCGAAATTTTCATTGCACGTTTTCTTTTTTTTGCTATATTGTACTTCATGGTCTCTTATAGTAAGGAAGAAGTAGCAGACGCTGCCAAGCACAGCAAGCTATCAGGAGAGTGTTTATCGACGGCAAACGCGTTGGGTTGAAACTTCTGTCTTGCTCCTATAGTGACCCACATTTATCACGAGAACACGACTGGTTTAATAAAAACAATTATTATTATAACCAACTGTACCAGTGCTTGTTTTAATGTGCGTTTGTTTGACTGTGCTAATGACAGCTATATTGTGCTTCCATTCTTATTCTTACACTTTGATTGTGACTTCGCGCGACTTCGGTTACATTCTGTTACCAAGCTTGTATCCTGGCACGATCTCGGTATCCTTTCGATACCACGAGATCGCCAGCGAATATATCTCGATTTGGTCCATTAATTGCCTTCTAATATTTGGCTTCTCGGGGATTTTATGGATTTATTTGGTTACGTTCAACCTTCGCCTTCTGATTTATTTGGCACGTGATTCTTGGTAGCGGTGTTCATATTTAATCTCGACTCGACACCACACTACACTACGTCTTATGGTCATCATCACCCTCTAGAGGGAGAAGTGATATATAGCAGTAATAGGATCCGAAAAACAAATAGCTCTGACCACATTAGTTTTCGTAGACTCAACTAGACGAGTGCGCTTGATCATGCATCCGCACCAGATAACGAGTGGAAACGCCGTGCTCAACATCCCCTGCAATCGCTAGCCAGATTAGACCAGTCGATCCTCGATATATTGATAGCCTATCAAATATATCTTCGAACCTCCTCGCTTCTGTTTTTTGATTTCACTTGGTGGGTACGACTCACATTAGAAGGTGTTACTGGTTAAAGTGTTGTTAAACTACGAATACCAGTGGCATCTTCAACTTCATTCTTTTCTGTTTGATACTTATAACTGTACATCTCTTTGTTGAAATTAGTGACCAGTTGTTAAAACAAACAAGAGCTCGTTAGGTAAGAGCTTATTATACCTCACGCACAGTCATTGAATGATTCGGATTGAAGAAACATCAGCGCAAAATATAAGCAGCTGGTCAGTTCGTCAAGGTCATTTCATTGCTCAAGGGCGTTGCGCATTAAGGTCCTAACTTTCAACTCTATTCTCATCTCTTCCTAGTCCCCTGATTCATTTACAGTGATCTCTAGTGAATGTCTCTGTCCGACGCCCTCGTAATATATATGACAGTTTCTTCATCGGTGTAGATGAACCGTTGACTTTCACTTCTTGAAGACGACATGAGATGCTTGTGACTACCAGTCTCACACTACGTGGGACGCATGAAATATATTGTTAGCCGGGTTTTAAGGGATATGAAAGATGCACCTGACACTGAAAATTTAGAGTTCATGAGGCTATCAACCTGCTGTATGGTATGGTGGGTGTGATAGCCTTGATAGTGTAGGTTTCGACATCTCTGTAGACTCCTATAAGCTGGGGTTTAAATTCGGTAAGCCGCATTATATCGCTCATGTTGTTACGTATCCATTAATAACTACTTCATGTTGACGATATCTGCATTGGTCCGGACGCTTACTTCGAGAACTATTTAATTTAGTGTACGGTATACGTAGCCCAATACTCCTGTTCACTAATGACTTGCTTCTGACACAATGCAGATCCTCAATTACTCAAAGATTTATGTAATGTGATCATTGGGTATCATAAGTAGATTTGTCAATATATTTTCTTTTTAGCCTGAAGCTTGAGTTTCCCTCCAGCTTAATATTCCTACATGAAAAATATTTAGCCGTTTATGTTGCAATTTCTAGTGGTGTTAGCATGGATGATTATAAACTTGGGTGTTGCTGAACTTGCATTCCACATTTTGCTTCGTGTTTTACCCTTCACATTCCGCAAGCGTAAATAAGTTTTCACAGTAAATTTATGGAGAGTCCATCGCTTCTTATATCAGCTCTCTAGATATAATAGAATAACGATTTCGATCCGTTTTATCCTCCCTGTGTTTCCAGCGAATCAGCTTCTCCAATGCTATGGAAGACCCGATAAGTTGTTGGCTGGATGGTGTTCCGTTTTAAAAATCCCATATCCTACTCCAGAAAGCGAATTTCGCCAGATCATCTATAGGGATCTCTGAGGTGTCCTTATTGAAACCGACCATAATATGTAAGAGTTGTTAATTCATGTTACGAGGATCGAGTTCTCCCCAATGTCTTTTCAACAGACTTAGTTATCGTGTTAGACCAGTTCACTGGGAGAGAAAAATCCCTGATTGCCGATATATCAGAACCTTATTCATGCAGACGATAAAAAACATTTAGACTAGTTTGGGATTTAAACCAAAAAATCAGTGCTAAAGATAACTTGGGACGACACAAGTAGGTGACAATTTTATCCAACTGTTATATGCGTTGTACTCAATGTATAAGTTAACTCAATGGATATTAGCAGAGACGTTAATGATTGAGATGAATAATATAATTTCGCATAAATATAGACATTTATTTCCTGGATTTATTTGTCACTGTTATTCTGTGGTTGCTACATCGATAAATGCAGGTATGAGGGTTAGTATAACCATTTTACTGGAGCTTAAAGAGTGTTTTCAAAGCGCTTTACTTATTGATTTGGGCTTTTACAGGTCCTTGGTGGTTTCAAATGTATGGGGGTGGTTATCACTTCCTGGTTCCCACATGTTCGAAGATTTCTTATAGATTGACTTATTAATGATGTAATGTAAGATCGGTCGTTATTTCTTTAGTGCGTAACCACATATCTCGTTGGATTACTGTTTGACCTCCGTCACGTTGTATGTTTTCGTGGGCAATATTTGTATGGTTCCTCGTTTGCTTGTGCTTTTTGGTGTCATTGTTCTGTCGTTTCAGTTTCTTAGCTAATTTTCCTAATACTTTTCAAATTTTATAAGCCTGGTTATCGTCTCATTTCACCTCGGCGTTCAATTTAATGGTTTTTGATGCCAGAATAGAGGAAGACAAAGTCGAGTCTGATGTTCCGGGTATTATATATCTCTCAACTATACCAAATGGGATGAACGTTAGCATGATTTCGGACATTATGCAACAGTTTGGTAAAATTGGCAGAGTTTACTTGATACCAAAAAAGAAGAAAGTAGGAAAATACCGTCAATATGAAGAAGGTTGGGTTGAGTTTCTTAACAACAAAATAGCTAGGCGTGTTGCCATGCGGCTTAATTGTACAGAAGTTCTTGGATCAAAGGTTCGTTATAATTACCATTATTATTCTTTGCTCACTAACTATATGCACATGTTTTATCGTTCCGATATTATATTTTGAATTCAAGTCTTTGGAATTCGGATACACTTAATAAACAGTATGTCCCATTTTTAGATTTTGTAGTAATTTAGAACTGTGACCAAAGACTTTATCCAAAAAAATTAAAAAAGGACAAGTAAGTTACTAGTATTTGATCACAGATGTCTTAGAAATATTGCTCGCATCCTCTGGGATCACCGGGTAAGTAATAGTAAAGTTAGACGCAGGGTATTAGGGAATGATGGTAAGTCAGTTGATGAGGCTGTGAGAGATTCATATATGGGCTGTTTTGTTGAGGGCACTTGGATTACTATCCAAAATTGGTGTATCTCAATTCCTTTAATTTAACTATATATACATATACACTAACACTTCATTTAAACCTTCCTTTGACTGCTGCATGATGATTACAATATGTGTAACTTCTTTTGCAGTGACTGTTTTCTAAATAAAAAGCGTACCTCTTTTATTAAAACATTTTTGGGTTATTATTGTACTAATCTATATATGATACAAATGAAATTAAATAAGTGACTGGTTTAGGAAATCGATAGTATGCAATCATTTACTTCGAAGCATTTTTATTTTCCTTAGAAGGCATAATTCTTACACAGTCAGTCGTTGGTTTGTTATTCTTTACTTCCTAAAGACTTCGCTTTATGTACAACCGTGTTTATTGTGTCCTGTGGTTATAGTATACATAAGATGCACTAAATCAGAAGCTAATTAACCCTCTTACTCTTTCTATGTTTTTTTCGCTTTTAGCGTAATCCGTGGTTTGGTGAACTGTGGAACATTAGATTTTTGAAAGACACTTCATGGAACGACCTTTTTGGCGCTGAACGCGAAGAAGAAGAACAAAGACGTACAGCTCATGATCGTGATATAGTGGTCGCGAAGCATCAAGCTCGCCAATTTTCTGCAGCTCTGGATGCAAAGAAACTAGAGAAAAAGATGAAGCAAGTTAAAGGGAAAAGGTATTTCTTTAACATATACTTGTTTTTTTTGCCATCTTTTTTATAGTTTGTTAACAAATTTCTGAAGTTATGTATGATAAATTCCTCTTCATGGATTCATTACAGTTATGTACACCGAGAAAAATTTCCTACTTCAAATAATTTGCTGTTTCATCTGGTTATAAGGAATGTTAACTGTGGCACACAGTATGAGTAGAGATATCAAAGGGAAAATAATGCATATTATTATTTCTAAGCGTTAGTTAATCCAATAACACATCAAAAATACCAAAATGTGGTTAAGTAAATCACTAAACGTTTAGTTAGTACGGAGCTTCTTTTGTTCATTTATTCCGGCTATTTAAATTTAAATAAAAGGAAAGTTGCGATAGGTCCCTCATGGGTTCTAATTCTTAACTGTATTTTACGTCTGAAGCAAATAAATTGTCAGTCGTTTAGAGTGCTTTCATGAATTCTTGATTGATAACATAATATGATTATCCTCCACATCGTGACTCCATTTCATAAAGTGAGCTTTAACAATCCACTCGGTCCCTATATCACCAAACACGCTATTGGTGGAAGCTGCTCCAATGCCACAAATAGAACTTATTCAAGAAATGTTTTGGTTCAATTCTGTCATAAATGTGTACAATATTTCTCAGGGTTGAACACCTGACTCGCCGGTCATGTTTACTTATAAGCGAAAGTGTAGGTCGGGATTGGACTCTTCGCAGTGTCTTACTAAAGTTTTATATATTGTCAGAGGAATGTATTGGTAATACTTGCAATGAATTTGGGGAACGCTTATTATTGGCTTTTCATTGGGAGCATAACCTCGTTTTTCATGCCCCATAATCAAATATTACCATCCGCCAACCTTTTGAAATCCCTCACTAAATTATTGGTAAACCAAACTAAACATATGAAGTCCTACAAATGGTTTAACGTTGAGCCCTATGTACTGTACTTCTATATACTGATCATTAACTTAATATTTACTTCCTAAATTGTCTGTAAATGCTCAGCAAAAGTGTTTTTCTCTCATTTGGGGGTTAAGCATATTGATACAGATAAATAGATCTGGAATGTAACCTCATATTTTCCCCAGAACTGTTCTTATAGCCGTAGACAATCCCAAATCAACACTGTTTACCATTAAGCTTTCAAAATAATTTTGCAAACGATCATTAACACTAACATCCCATTGTCAGGTACATTAAAAGACATGGAAACTTAGTAATATTCACATGATCCTTAAGTTCTCTACCTGTCTAATCCAATTCTATTTTAGTATCTTATATCCAGTAGAAAATCTTAGTTAAATTTTCCGTCGTTCTAGATTTACTGAAAGAAAACCAGTCCAATTGAATCGACGTCAAAAGCTTACAGAAGATGAAATCAAAGAAAAACTTGCTCATTCTAGTCGTACACCGCCTGAAGGATGTCTTGGCTTCTCAGCTGTTTCGAATCCTGAATTTATGGGCAGTCTTTTTGCCGGTGGTCTGTAATTTTTTTACTGAATTATTGTATATGAGATGTTTATATAGTTTAAATAAATTTTTTCTGACGAAAACAATCTTTTGTATTCATTGAAATAATCAAACTTAGTAATTTAATAAACAAAACAATAATTATCCGTGTTTGCATTAATCATCATGGTCTTCAATAAATTCACATATGTTATTATTATTATTATCAGCTTTATTCAATATTATATTTTTGGTACAATATAGAATTCTCAGCGCATAGTATTTCAACATGTTTCCGTTTCTTTCTTCTTGGTCGGTCCTGGCGATAAATAGTGAGTGATCGCCAGTTATATGTTAGCAGTTCAGTAAATGGACATCTGAGTAATGTGCATTCTTTTCGTTGTATATTGCCAGTAACCACATTGTCTCTTATTGAGTTTTTTGTAACATTGACATCGAAAGGTTGTACACTTTTCAGAAACGCAGTAGAATAGGCTATGCGATTAATAAACATAATGATACATTAAAACAAACAAAAATAGGTAACTTGTTGAAGTATCTAGATGGCAGGAACAGGTAGCCCAGATGCTCAAGCAGACCGCCCTTATTAGCTATTAATGAATCGTTTGTCTTTTGCTTAGTATTTTTAGTAGAGTGTAAGATGCGTCAGTTTTCAGACACAAATATATAAACGAGTTGATATTCACTGGAAATGGTATACCACAAATCAATGGTTTCATACTATTTGATATAGCGTATAGTTTAACTGTAGCTGATCAGATACGTGCATTTTAAAAGATTTAAATTGAAAATATGGATGGTGGCTAGCACGTTCCGTCCTATTCGGGACTCGTCAGCTAGATGTACGTGCATCCCAGAGTGAACATCATTTCCATACATATTTATTTGTACATTAGTTAACTCTCTTTTGAAACATCACAATTACAACACATGTATGCTCGCTATTTTCTATTTAATGACTTATAATTAAGGACCTGTTTTCTTCGTTATTCATAACTTGTGTAGCCGTTGAATACAGATTTTGCGCATATGTTCATTCAAATTAACCTCCAAAGTTTCACAATTAGATGTTATCTTTGTTTATATCACCTGAAGGTCGTAACGGCGGATCTTTTTATATATTTATTTTTAATCTGTCAATAGTTTCCTTACGCCTGTTACCTATCGTGGAGGAGCATAGGCCAACCACCGGCACTCTCCATCGGACCCTGTCCTGGGCATGTTTGCTTTTAATTCACGAAACAGTGTGTTCAGCCTTCCTCATTTCCGTTTCCCCTCAGGATTCCAAGCTAGGGTTTGCATCATGATGCAGTCTGGTGATTTCCACAATGTATGTCCTATCCACTCCCAACACCCTTTCCTAATTTCCTCTTCATCTGGAGGCTGGTTCGTCCTCTCTCACAGAAGGCTGTTGCCGATGGTATCCGGTCAACGGATATTGAATATCTTGGGTAGACAGTTGTTTGTGAATATCTGTACTTCTTTGATGATGGTTGTAGTGGCTCTCCAAGTTTCAGCTCTGTACGGTAGGATTGTCTTGACGTTCGTATTGAAGATTGTGACTTTGATATTGGTTGACAGTTGTTTTGAGTTCCACCTGTTCTTCAATTGTAGGGATGCGGCCCTTGTTTTGCCAGTCCTCGCCTTTTGGGTCTGCATCGGATCCTCATGTTTATTGATTATGCTTCTCAGAGCTTTTCCATCAAGTGTGACTGGGTTGGTGTTCTCCGCCTTGTATTTGAGAAACTTGCTTTTTTCTTTGTGTATATTGAGGCCTACTGATGCAGAGATTGCTACTACACTAGCTTCCTCCATCTGCATTTGCTCGTATGTATGGGATAGAAGGGAGAGGTCGTCTGCGAAGTCCAAATTTTCCAATTGATTCCGAGCTGTGCATTTTATTCTCTGTTTTCCCTCGAATGTCGAGGTCTTCATAATCCAGTCGACCACCAGAAGAAAGAGGAAGGGGGAGAGTACACAGCCTTGTCTGACTACAGTCCTCACTTGGAATGCATCTGTCCTCCATGCGCGACTTGGAACTGTAGTCCGTCGTATGAATTTCGGATGGTGTTGACGATCTTCTCAGGTGGTCCACAATGTCGAAGAAGTTTCCATAAAATCCTCTTATCCACACCGTCAAACGCCTTCTCATAGTCAATAAAGTTGATGTATAGTGACTAGTTCCACTCAACTGATTGTTCAACGATGATCCGGAGTGTCGCGACTTGGTCTGTGCACGATCGATCCTTACAGAATCTTGCTTGTTGGTCTGGAAGTTGGGCGTCTACTAAATTTTTATCCGGTTCGGAAACACTCTGTCGGAAACTTTTTCTGGTACTAACAGTAGTGTGATGCCTCTGTAGTTCTCACACTTCCTTGGATCTTTATTTAGTGTCTTGATGAGGTGTCTTTAATTTTAGTCCATCGGCATTTGTACTTCCTCCCAAATCTTCCCAAACAGAACGTGAAGCATACCTGCAGTTACTTCTATGTCTGACTTGGGAGCTTCAGCTGGCATATTGTCAGATCCTGTTGCTTTCCCGCTCTTGATTTGTCTGATGGCCATCCCTATTTCCTCCGTAGTTGCTGGAGTGACATCTGTGAGAAGGTCTGTAGGTGCTGCCCCGATATCCGGTGGACTCAATGGAGCTGAGCTATTCAAGAGTTTCTCAAAATGTTCCATCCATCTGTCCTCGAATCTCGGTGATTTTCCTTGGCCGGCCTCGCTGGTTTTCTGTATTTCCCGAACAGTTTCTTCGTCGTGTCATATAGTTGTCTCATGACAACTTCAATCGATGCATATATGTGCCTGGTCCTACGTTGTAGCTGACTGACTCTTTGTTTTGAAGGATACTTTGATGATCCTTGATCCGTGAGATTCCAATCCTATAAGCGCATTACGTGCTTTTTGCACAGCATTAGAACAACTTCCGGAGTATGTGAAGCATTTTTCTATTCGTGACCGGATTCCAGCAGCATCTCTCCTGTACCTAACCTTTTCTGTCCAGCTTGGGTTCACTGGGTTTCGGTAATTCCGAGTACCGATAATTTGTATTTCCACATTTCCGTTGCTATTTGATTGGTCCTCCCGGTCTCTCACGTTGTTCGGACGTTCCATGTACCTATAAAAATTGTTGACCTGGTTGTTAGAAGGGACATCGGTCGCGTGACGTCCGAAGAATCTCGGCTTTCATTATGAAGCGTTATAATTCTCCCTTTAAATCCGGGGGCAGAGTTTAAATGGTTTAATTTGTTTAATCTGGTTAGCGTTTTCTTAGCAAGTTTGTTTTCTACGGGATGGAGTTGATAACAACATCCCACTCCTACTCCTTTACCCAGGCTTGGGACCGGCAGAAGAGCTACAGGCGGAGTTATGTCAATAGTACATCACTAAATACTGAAAATTCCCGTAGTCATCAGCATAGCACTGAGTTTATCATTTTCTTGCAAGAAATAGACTATTTAGAGTCAAGTATAAAAAAAAACTATTGTTCAAGAATAACTTTTATTTTATTTTTCTTGGATAATTTCTGTTCAAATAATCGTCGATACTTGATTGGCTGTGAAAATTACAAATTCCCAATAAACCTAAAATGAAAGGAAAACAATGGAAAGATTTGTCTATTACCCCGAAACTATGGTATAAATGTTTAGTTAAGTAAAATATTCTACATGGTACTGACAGCCAATAATTTAAATATCTACAGCATTAAAGTTCAGTAAAAAAATGGTATAAGGTTTCCTAGTGTTCGCTATGCTATTACTCCTGCACATTTCCCAGGATTCTAAGTTTCTTGTTGCCGACCAGTGTATAGTTATCAGTTAGGATTTTTTGAAATTATTTCATCATACGGGTGTCGAACACGGTGCAGATTTATTGCGTCTCTCGATCAAACTTATAATCTGACTATTATATACCGAGGTTTCCCATGAGTATGTTTATTATTAACGTATCGAATGTAGGTTTGTTTGTTTTTCTTGCTAGTCAATAATTGCTTGTCATCCCTCCACTTTCGAATCGCTCGCTGTTACTAGTATACTATGTAAATCTCCGACTTTTATTTTCACACTAGTACACATTAAACCATCAGTGTTTTGATCGTTAAGTATTTTGAAGACTTTGTCGGGCAGAATATTAAAGGGGACAACTACAATTGAAGTAGCCCCTGTCTTCTCTTTGTTGACCATTGCAATAACTAAATAAGTGTTGATATTGTAAATATCCACTGAATTAAAAATTTTGATCAAGAGATTAGGTATTTTTATTAGTAAAAATAGTACTATCGTTCCATCAAGTTTTTTAAATCTAGTGGCCGCATGATCGTGTTATATCAAAATGCATCTTACTTTTACGTATTAAAGTTTATAGCACAATTTTGTTTGATCATATATTGTTTCGAAAGACGATTCTAATGTAGATTGTTTTCGAGAATTGTGAATACTCGGTTCCATAGTTCCATAATAAAGGTTAGGTTCGAAAGTTTTGTTTTGTTTATATGATCTTGAAGTGGCAGGAATTTTATCAATATCAATATAATTTTCTTCATTGTTCAATCCAGATTCGAACTAAAACAAAATACATGTCAATAGTTTATTAATTTAAAGTATTCCAGTAACGCGAAAGATGCGTCGATTTATGATACTTCTAGTTACTTATAATTGCTATTTTGCCGAAATTTGGTGGTTTCTACTTCGTTTACAATATCTATTCATAAATAATACTGTACCCTATCACTCACTACTTTTGTGTATGAACGAAGTAGGCACGAGACTTAAATAAAAAGAACTTGAAAACTCAGATTGAAAAAACAAATTAGCAGGCGAGTGTCGTAAAGATTAATATCCACATCATTTATTGAGTAAAAGGCAGAGTAAACCCCTCAGATAATTCTATGGAAAAAAAATTCCACTTCGTTGTCTCCTGATAAGATAATCTATATTGTTTATAGATGGGGAATCAATTCTGACTACTGTATGAATAGGTAGTTTAGATTATAATCATTAGGATGTGTTATGCCAACGAGGGAGCTACGTATAAATTCACTACTTTTTTCAATGTCTGCCATGTGAATGTGATTGATCATGGTAATAAAAGCCTTGTCACTAAGCTATTTAATACTATAGGTTAATAAAATCCTTTGGTATGCATCTGAACATACATGTGATTCAATCTTTAACACAAATAGATTATATCACTAAATCATTTTAACAGTGAAATATTTATTTGTAAATAGCTCTTGTCATTACTATATCATACTATACCATGTCAGCGGAACAAGATACTGAATAACATAGTGACTAACCAAATATTGGGAGAAATTTGTACAGCGGACTAGAAAATAATTGGGAAACAAAGAGTTATAAGAAGCTGTTTCATTATAGATCTAGGCTGGTTAGCAGTGTTTAATTGTGACTTTGGGCGAGATTAATCGCATAAGATTTTGGTTTCAGGGTGATCATGGCACAATTTAGCCTTCGGAAGGAGGAAAGTAATCTTCAGTCTTCTGTAGTTTTTAAGTTTTTTCTAGTTGGATATCAAAGGAAATCAACCAAATCTCCGAGCACTGATCGATTAAAATTTTCAAGCATATATTTTTGTTTTTATAAGTTATCTATATCAATATAGCCCTTTTACACATCACATTGGTTCCGGCTAAAACCACTAATATAATCAGTAGAATACATAAAACAGAGAAGAAAAAAAATCAGAGACCCCATAAAATAAGAGACGAATTAACCAAGTCCTTCAAAAGACTAGAAGGTAAACACATAGTTCAAGCAAATTTGAATGGTACATTCAGATAGATGTGAAATGTTTTACCAATTTTGTGTAAGTTAAGTTATAGACCATGAATTTTAATCATGTCCCACTATATCCAACACTCAACTAATCATATTCCAATTAGTTGTTTTACCTAACATTCTACACAGATGACTAAGTATGTTTTTAAGAGATATACTCAAATTTGTAAATAAAATAAATAAATACAAATATACTGTCGACTAACTTTGACCGTCACAGTACATCTTAATATAGTTCATGCGATGGTGAGTCACATATATACTGATGACCACATTACAACTTAAGCAACACTGAAAAGTAATAGACGTATATGACATTGATCACTGAGCAGTGATCAATCAATTGTACAAACTATCATGACTGATTTTATCATCATCATTTTAATGTATCACTATTACTTAAAAATATTCTAGTCATATAGATAATTAATCATATCTAAACAAATGACAGTGAATTTAAAACAGGCATTAGAATTTCAGACGAGTGTATTAAAAAAAATATGCAAAAGGGTCTTTAGAATGATGGATAAGGTTGTAGGGAGGATCCCAGTTTCCGTAATATATATATATTGACTATTTCAAATTATTAAAAGTATTGCCAGATAAACTTTATATATCAAAATTTTCTACTTACACTTTGTGTTTGTCTTATTTGATCCAAACCAATATGTTGATTATTATTTAATTGAACTTTTAAATAATCAGTTTGTTTCAATCTATCCTTCTCAAAATCGGGTGTTACAATAATATCAAGGCGTTCACTAGATGTAAACTAATTATTAAAAAAAAATTGATATTCACTTAATTAATAAAAATTTATAAAACAATTACTTTAGATACAGATTCATTATCATCATCATTATCTTTTGAAATACCGTTTCGATCGATTATTGATTGATTAATATGTGAATGATTATTAGGGGGGAAACTATGAAAAAATCAATTAAATTAAAATGGATGTTATTACATCAATGAAGTTAATTGATTATTCATTTGCAATTTTGAAATAATTTGATTTTCATTTGTAATTGTTGCTTTTTCATTAAAGTATTTTGGATATGTAACAATAGTTGTTGATTCATTACATAATGTTTGAACTGATTTATCAATATATTGACCTGTATAAAGAATGAAAAGTAATTAGATATTAAATTTATTTAAGATATTATTGGTATCAAATTCTCATGGGTGTGTTTATTTATATATTTCATATAATAATAATAATAATAATAATATATTACGTAAATGCATATGTGTAACAGTAGCAAAAATCATTACATGTAACGTTACTAATGCGAATCTCTTTTTCTTATTGCAGGGCAACAAAGAGTAAATGTACTGGAAGAAGAGAAACAAGTTCTACGTAAGCCGAACCTACAGAACGATGGATAAAATTATTTTGTAATAAGTTTTCTCTTTTGTGTACTCTTTCAAATTTTCAAATATATATTTGTCGTGCCAGTACTCTGCGTTCTGACTGTTGTGTTGTTGTTTCAGATCGCTCCTGCTTCCAAGTAAACGCTAATATTACGTGCTACATATGGTAATAAGTGTAAACAAGTATGAAACATTATTATCATAGTGTCGTATCAATCTTTCCCAAATTTCAACTATAGTATACATTTTAAACCAAATGATACTATTCAATCAGTACATTATTAGTAAATAATAAAAAGTCGAGTATGACACTTGTTATAACATATACCTTAATTATTGCTTATGAAAATAGTTATATTCACTCTGATGTTCTTCGAAGTTTGCTTTCTTAAACTTTGATTTCAAAATTTACTTCTCAGTATGTTTATTAAATCCAAGTGAAACATAATTATCTGAACTAAAATATGTTCTCTACATTATACTATTCATTCTTTAGTTTTGTATTGATTTTTTTGCCATGTACACATCTGCTTTGTGTAAGCACTGTGAAATCTTACAAAATCTATCCTTTTATTATAAAAGTTCTATGATTTAGGTTTTTACTAGTAGTACTATTATCAGTAGTATGAAAGATTGTTTCCTTGATATTTTTTATGAGAACCAAACGTTAAATTTCATAGACGAATACAAGAATATAACTTTTGGGTGAATTTATTGGAACGATATTTTACATGAAACTTATTAGTTTTTAGTAAACTCGTATAAATGTTTAGAATTAATTTTCTTTCAGCGTTAATATTTGTTTGAAATCATTAGCCGTTCAGTGTTAGTCCACCACTGAATACCTAGAAGCACTGAACGAAAGATTAAATTTAGCATGTGATTTCTGAACAGTGAGCACTTACGATCATGCACGCGGGACTTGAACCCATAATCTTCGGTCTCTCATGAACACTTAACTTCTGGACTACTGACCCGGGATCTAACGGTGTTAAAGCCTACCTTTTAAAGTTCTCGGGTTTCTAGTCCTACATATGGAATCATGAATGCGTACTGCTGAGGAGTTCCACACTAGGATGAAACGGTCATTCAATGCTGCCAGGTTTTCAATGATGGTCAAACATTGGTCAGTTCACGATTTCAATGAAATTCAACAATCTCAACAACTGCATACTGAGGACTTATATTTGTATTAAAAATAGAAACGAAAAGTTCTTTTAACTCATTAATGTCATTTTTTTAAATACTAGTGATTCTCCCTATTTCTATTTAACTGGTAATTTAAATTTTGAATAATTTTCGTATAAATTGTCCTGGTTTATTAAAAAAACGATTCGCCATTAACTCATAATATGGATACTTATTTCACCAATCAATTTTTTTCAATAGTTGAAATCATGAGTCAATTGAAGCTAGACCACCATGGAAAACCTGGAAGCACTGGACGGCTGTTTCGTCCTAATATGAGACTTCTCAGCAATTTAATTTTTTGTTTTTTAGTGTTGGATGTTTAAAAGAAATTTTGTTTTGGTCTCAATTATCATTAACTTAAAGTTTAGATTGTTTTTCTGAATAAACAAGTTTTTTTTTATTTAACTTTATATGAAATCACTTAAATATTAAAGAGACATTTTCATTTTAAGTAATATATAATTATAAATTGAAATTTTATTTCATTTTTAAATAGATAACTCAATATAACATGATGTAAACATAATAAATAATTATGAAATATTTTATTCATTAACCGATATCATGCTTTATTATTATTATCTAATGGTTAAGAGTTGATCCAAGGTAAATAAATAAACTAAGTGACTTTAAATCACCTATTGTAAATGATAGATACTGTCTATTACCCCTCGTAGAGGAGCATAGACCACCTACCAACATCTATTGTAGTTAAACACTATTCATATAAACTATGTTAATTAAAAATTTTTTTAGAAAAACAATCTATGTTAATTCATTATTTTACATGAGATGAAACATTAAAGCATTAAAATAGTATGAAACTTTAAAATGTGACATAAAAATTTTACATTTGTTGAGAATATCCACCGTTTGAACTGTACAATTACTACGAGCTGAGTGATTTAAACAATGACTACAAGATCGCAATTCATTTAGATCTAAGTGTAAACAATCATTCCATCTTGAAGATATTTGTTTTGTACTTTTACAACACTCTGCACAGTGTTGATTGAATGTTGTAATTGGATGGTAAGTTTCTGTAACGATTTTTACTGCATATTTATTCAAAACATCTGATGAAGCTGACGTATTTGATTCAACAAAGAGATTACGCAATTTCTTTTCCATAGCTTCTAAACGTTTATCAATACTTATTGTTTCTAAATTGTAATATAGATTTTTCTGATCCCCAAATATCCTCTGATCAGGTGAATCATGGAGCAGAAACGAAGAGTACTGAAAACAAATATAATTTAAGGAAAGTTAAAATTATTACTTCCGTAAATCCCTGGACAAATTGCAAGTACAATTACTTGTGATAAAATTTTCAGGGACCAATTAAAATATCATCAATTTCATTGTGATCACTAACTTATAAATTGCCTTGATTGGTTTGAAATTTCATAGATATATTCATTTATATTAAACCAAAGTCTAGTGACTTCTACTTTGTAGGAGATTTAGAAAGTAGTCAGTCCAGTGGTGTGTTTCCAGTCCCCATGTTCAGCTATGAAACACGACAATTGACAAGGTTTCATTCCTAATTATTAACCAGGTCATTTTACAAGTGTTTCTCTTGTTTGCCACAGCTAATTACAAATGAACTTAAATTAGGTACTAAACAGAAACTGGTTTTAATTTACTAAACACTTTAGATTAATTATTTTTATGAAAATGTATGATGAATAAATAAAGTCTATTTATCATCCATTTAGTGTTTTTTTTATCGTGAAATCGTTGGAGATTATCTGAACTCAATATCAACATAAAACAAGTCAAGTATTCTTTCTCAAATGAACCATATTCGACGAAATAAAGTAAATGAAATAATTGTTTGATAAATGTTTTATTGTGAGTAAAAAGAAATGTTGAAATGTTTTTGCAATAATGAAATTCTAGCCTACTTTTCTTAAAGTTTGTATGACTCGAAAAATTTTATTTTATTTTCCTACGTACTTAAATACATTTGTACCAAAAAATTACATAAATAAATTAGTTTCTAGGCATCAAAACCAAGGTGTGAACATGATAGATTCAAATACATTGAAAATTAGGTAGACAGTTATTAATAAATATGTGTTTGTTATAACTTAATGAGTAGAAGTGACTTATATGAAGTGACGAAACGTCAGAAATACAGTTCTTTCTCCTTTATTTTTTGTTATACAACTTACTTGTGTATATCGCGAAAACAAAGTAACGAAATCGGACAGAATATGCACATTTTGCAACTTCAAACCGAAAACTACTTTTTCATAAATTTATCATCAATCAATCTTATTTTATTGTATTTTTCTAAATGACCATGAGAAAGCTTGTTTATTTTAAACTGAACTGCTTCTAGTTTATCATAAAATAGTTTTTAAAAAAGGCGTGACAAATCTCATTGTCTAGTAGTTTTCGAAACTTTTAAATAATAGTTTGATTATTCGAAATTTTTTTTAAAATTTCGATTCGAAATTCCACATCGTATAATAATGACCTTAAGTAATAATAATATGACTTTTTATATCATTATTTCTTCTTCGCCAGCTTTTTTAATAGAATTCGATTAATTTTATGTGTATTATCACTAGTGTTACGGTTACTATAGTGACAGTTATAAGTTTCAGGTATGATACTAAACAATGTTAACTTTGAATCTTGTATACACCAAAAAGAATCAATATCAATAGTAAGTTTTTGTTGTCATAAACGACTAATTTTTGCACACATTGTTGATGGAGTTTAAAATTTTGGCACATGATATAAAGTAGGTGCACATATACCTTTAAACAAAATGTAAACTGAGGAAGACTAAATATTCAGTAAATATCTTCTCCTTGATTATAAATGCTGATTAATTTTTGTAAAATATGTTCATATTTGGATAATTTGATGAAGCCTTGACTTTGTAAATTTAAACTCCCCTTATGTGTACAAAAACAATTTGTCGTAACCTTGAATTTACCTTGGTAATCCTTAAGTCATTATATGGCCTAGGATAACGCAACCATTTCTTATTTTTCTATACGACGTAAAATTGTTTCTCTCCCCTTCGAACTTTCATTTATTTGACCTTTATTAATTTTCATAGAAAATGCCCTGATAAGTATATGTGTAACCAGATTGTTCGAAATGTATAGTGCAAATACATCACATTTTTCGGATCAACTCCGTCTTCTCATTGTTCTATCGGAACATATGTTCATCAAAAGTGTGTTTAAATGTTAAATATTAAGCAAAAAGATTGTATGAACACATTTAGTTAGCTTTTTACCTCTTGGGTATCGATAATATAACTGAACATTTTTAATATTTAAGTTAAGAAACTGCCAACCTCTATAAATGTATACAGATAAATAATGATTTAAAATATAACTGACTAGTTTAAAGACTATACATATTTAATGTTGACAAATTACAGCTAATTTGTTTTGTAGATCCATTTGTAATGACCGAATATATTGGTAAATTACCTGGAATATCAAGGTTTTATTAAATTTTCGGTTTAGATAACCATATAGAAGTGAATTTATCAATTTAAATTAACGTTTGAGTCCACAGGGTTACATTGAAGTTAAATTAAATTAAACAACAATGGTAACAATAAATCAGTCGGTATTGTTTTTTTTAAGCATGTCATGTATTCGCTATCGACTAATCATTTTTCTGTCATTTGTCATGTTTCCAACAAAAAATTAAAATATCTCAAGGAAATTATAGTCAGTGAAGACTGTGTGTGATTCCCGATTAAACAACTTGGATTATTTTTACAAGCATTTATCTGCTTGCATTGATGAACGGCATTTGTCACCCTTTTTGTACCTACCCTTATTTTTTATAATCCAAGGTTTCCAAAATGACTGTTTGTGTTGGTACATTTTCTATGAGCTATTTATGCGTTTGTAAAGGTACGACAATTACGGCTCAACTATTATTTGGTTCTAGTTTAGAGGTCTAGAGATTAACTGAATGTTTGAACGCAGTCGGTTTCATAATTTTATGCCAATGGACTGTTTGTTGAAAATTAGGGATTGCCAGTTTTGATTTTATGTCAGACTTTTCATTGGTTCTCAAGACTCATTAATTAACAAACCTTCAAGTTGGCTCTGATCAAGATATTCATAAATAATTCAAGTACAGTGATTAAATTTCTGAATCTTCTACTCACTATCATACAGTCAATATTTAGCTTAATTTGTAATGGTCTGAGTCATCCCGTTGTTGGTATTCTTGACTGAATTTTGACCACTTTTAGTCGACGTATTTAATAACTTTTGGCGAATATCCTCGGTATTACCTAATTGACACAAGTTTTCATAGGATTTTATTTATATTGCCTGGAGCAGAACCCAGGATGCATGTTTTACCTTATCCCATTGCTGCCTACATTTCATTTATTTTGTAAAAACTTATGAAATAACAGTTACACAGAAGCGATGCATACAGAATGCATATACGCCGAGTAAGACTGATCAAACTCCAGTCAGGAATGTAAACAAAATGATAACCAAAAGCATTACAGTTCATACTCGTTGAACAGGCTAGTAGCCATCAGGATTCGGTAACTCAGTGAACAACTTGTAGATCAGTTAAAATGAAAGGTACAGGGTTCAGTCCCAGTTTGAACATCAACTCTATAACACTAACATATCTAGCTGACGAGGGACGAAGAAGACTAAACGTGCCTCCTGAAATCTACTGCTAGCTACATTCTATCTATTCCATGAAAATAACTAACATTTATTAATTAGGTATATTCGGAACTGAGTTATAAAGTTTCGTCAGAATATACCTTCCATTGTTAGTTGATATTATCTTAGATTGTTCTCTATATACCCGTCGATGAAATTTTTGACCTTATATATTCTTTTTCCTTGTTCAATACTTTACAACTACAGTCAAAAAGTTTTGATTATCGTTAAAATAGTATTATTCGTTAAATGTAGTGACTAAAATTTTCCCATTTATTCACCTTGAAGTCAATTATCGAGCATTTAACTCAGTCTTAGTAAGGTAATTTGAACACGTAAACATTTCTGAAACAACGTTAATATAGAGCAATGATTTTCATAAAGAATGCCAGATTCTCATGTTACAAACAGCTACATATGTATTACGTCAGCTTAAAATACTTTATTTCTTTCCTGGATAGAATTTTATTAGATTAATGTGAAACAATAAATTTTACTTGTATAGAAATTAGTAACCATTTATTGTAACGATAGTAAGTAAAGCGATATATAGTTTGGCTAAACCAAATGTTGAAAAGTTTGGAAACAAAGTTTAAATTACTTATTAAAAATTCGCGTAACTATATTCACTCTACACAGAAGACTTATTTTTCGTTTAAAGTTTCTTAACTAGGCTTTGAACACAGCTAGAAATAAGGTTATTAATCTGATTATAAGAATTTTAATTACATTATGAAATAGTTATATTCAAAAAAAATTTTCCCTCTAATAACGTCGTTTCCTACAGAAATATAATGGTGTCCAACATCATTGGCATCTAAAAGTTATTCCTATTATTAAATATTATTGATGAAGTTGTGTTATTTTCATACTCTTAGAAATGTCACAATATGAATATCATAGATAAAGAAACGGTACTACATTATCAAAACGGGAGTAGTTGATTTAAAGTTTTAATTTCGTATTTTTAGTCTTTTGCTAGAAATATCCGAAAACGGCGACTGAAGTTTAAATTACATTCAAAAAGTATGCATTTCTCTTCAAATTTGTAAGTTTTAGCAAACCTATACAGGTGAGAATCCGTCTGTACAGAAGCAAAGCAGCCTTTTCATTTAAAATCTTGAAAAACAAGATTTATTATTGAACATAGACAGTGTCACACATATGCGCAAGTCTCATGCTAGTTCATCTATACTTCAGTTAAGAAACTTTCATTTAAATTTAAATGAAGTTTTAATGGAAGATTTGATTCGTTTAAAAAGTTGTTTTCACTAGGCGCTACTTTCCTTTTTTGGATTTTTGATTGCTATCAATTAAGAATGGATAGTCAAACTTTAACATCGTGCGTTGAGTCCATAAAGACTGAGCAGTTTTGACTGAATTTAGTGACTGACATTTTAATTTTTTCAGGTGGGTAAAGTTTCCACAAGCAGTATTATTCTGTCTATAATCTGGAAACTTTATGGTGTCTGGTCGAAAACAGAACTTAATTTGTTTAACTAAATACAACCAGAATGATGAAAGAATTCATAACTGTAATTACTTTGTCTTTTAAGATACGTTCATTGACTTTGTTGCTCAATTCATACTGTGTTCTTTCAACTGGTTTAATATTCCTCAGCGAATTTAAAGATTCTTCAAGTCTTGATATTCTGTGTTTAAAATGTAAAAAATGTAATTCATATGATTGCCTGGTAATTCATCTAAAGTGAGATATTAAATAAGAAAAATCATTTCGCAATAATAAGCACTTAAATATTTATACGATTCCTGGAGACGGCATCCCTGATTGTGTACATAAGTGGGATATAGTACAAAATATAGACTTTACAAGGCAACTGTTGAAAACCAATTGAATTTGTCTTGAAAACGTGCAGCCAAAGGCTTGGTAACAGTAATAAATTTGTATACGATAGACAGAATATTGGTTAACGATCTTCAGAGACTATATCAAACATGAATTTTAGGGTTTCACTTTGATTTAAAGGCTTCAAATGAAAATCGATAGCTCCCGGGTGTTAATTCCTCATATTAACACAATTATTTGTAATTATTTTTTATCCTCAATAGGTCACCACAAACGTTCTGATAGCTTGACAATGGCTATGGATCTAAAAACTTCGTTTAATATGGTAGGGTAAATATCTAATGGCATAAGCTCAAAGTGAACTAGAATACTCAACTGTTTGGCTTGTAAAATGTGAAAAAGGCCTTTCAATAGTTAAACTCCCATTGCAACATCATGTAAATCAGGACTCACAAGACTTGTTTAGATTTGGATTGAGCAATCTGAGCCTTCATAAGACTCTCAAAGCATAATATGTCAAACTGGGCAAACCAAAACACTTCTCCTAACTTTATGCCTCACAATTCACTAACCCAAGATATTGTGATATAGTGGATAACTCAGTCAAATCGATAAGTAGTTAGCTACAGGACATCCAGGTCCAAACTTTTCAACCCAATTAATTGATTTCTATACACAAAATGTGGTCAAAAAGGAATATTTCGATCGAATTTATCATTGTTTGTGTAACTTCTAATTATATTCCGTTTGATCGATTGATTACTATTTAACGATATGAATGGCCTAAAGCCCATACTACCCCATACTGAAGTAAATCGTTCGTTTAAGAGCTTAAAAAAGTATGGATTAAAAATGATCTAGTTGGTCTTTAGAGGCCCGAGATCTGACTTTAGTTAGATCGTTTGCTGCTTGTTATAGAAATATAAATGTCGACAAACCTCGTATATAACCATAGACTTAAATTGCGTTGGTGAATAACGGAATTAAATAAGCCAAATATGAGAATGAAGTTTTGAATGCGTATGTTTCGTGCAATCGTTAATCGTGAAGCGAAGCAAAACAAAATGAAGCAATAGAGAAAGCGAGTGAGCCAACTTAATTAAGCGTGAATCAATATTTATAGACCGACAAAAAGAAGTTACAGATATGTGATGAGTCGTATAAGAAATGCACACGCATACGCTCATATAAAAATTCAAGGCTGATAAGCAAATAACTGACAAGGTCAAAATGTAATTAAAAAAGAATGAATAGAACGATCTGTTTAGAGAATAGAATGATAAATGGTATAGTTTTCAGGATGAGTACGAAAAATTAAAAGTGTGTGAATGGCATAGCTAATGCGTTCGATAAATGGTCGGAGGTACGAGTAATAATAATTCTCTTTTCTTATAAACAAGTGTGAGTTGGAAAAGTTCAACTACCATCAGTTGGTTTTTTTTAAACTGACATTTGGTGTCTTTTTAAATAGCTTTAATCATTTATGACCAATTCAAGGCCTCGCGATTTTTTTATCGAGAACCGGAAAATTGGGGTTAGCGATTCATGAAAGCTAACAATTTTGTATCTATATAATTGTCGGCGAGACTATAATTAATGGACGAACCAATCAGACTTACGTCAACAAGTCTTAGATTTTGGCGCGAAATTCATTCACCTATTCGGCAAAATAGAATCTTGGCATTATAGCTTATGTCAGTTCGTGATTAAAACCCTAAATCTAATTCCTAACCTAAACCATCAACTGTAAATCATAATCCTTATTCTTCAAACTGCTTTATAACCCTCAGTTAGCCCTAGTCTATAGGTAGACACTCTTAAGGTTAGCCTATCGTTGCAAAAGGTCGTCCATAAATTATAGTCTCACCATCGATGGTTTCCATAACAAATAAATGGTCGTAGAAACAACATTGTGTTAATAACAAGTCTTTTACCCGAACTTTGTCAGAAATTTGTTTTAAACATACTATTAGGTGTTTATGAGTATTAAACATGCCTCTGAATTTATTATCGTTATTTCATAACTAACCTACGAAATAGCTGAGTGTTTTTCTCAGTCAGCGTATTCAGTTTATTGTTTTCAAACCATGTCTCATCCGTCACTTTTTCCCTGAATAACTGGGGGAAAATGTAAACTATAAATAATCTAATTACGGAGAGAAACTGAGTCATCTTTTGATTTCGTACGTAGACGTACGACCTTCAATTTTAGCACTAATTTGACAAAGTATAACACACCATGAATTCACAAGAAAAGCAGTATGAAATAATTATATGGGATTTTCCAAACTTTGAAGAGCAAGCATCATATTTCATATTAGTTCATATCCAATTTTCGGAATCGTCAAGGTAATTAATACTTCCACTTCAGCCTGCGACAAAAGAGCATACTGACCCATACCAGTTTGTATACAAGCGCAAAAGAAGCACTTTAGATGCTGTTGCAGTTCTGCATCACAACATAGTGTTCAACTTAGAAAAGGGTAAGAAGTATGTTCGATGTGCTTTTCTGGACTATACTTCAGCTTTTGACTCTACACCAAGACAACGTCTACCTAACAAATTAATCAGCGTCAACACTGACAGCTGGATAACCAACTGGCTATGTTCCTACCTCTCTGGAAGGGAACATTACACTGTGTTTGGAGGAAAGTGTTCAGAGTCTCTACTGTCTCATGAAGGTGTACCACAAGGAGCTGTTCTTTCACTTCTTCTATTCTCTTTTTTTCTGCATGACCTGCCATCTTCCACAGAACACACTTTTGTGAAATATGCGGATGATCTCACTGTATGTATTCCTATATCTTCCTCTTTACATCCCATAGAAATGAATGAGTTTTTGTGTCGTATTGATTGTTGGTCTGTTGGTAATGGTCTCATACTTAATCCGTCCAAATATCAAGCTGTTAACTTTAGCATGAGACATGAACGGCATCTAAACACCATTTTGAGATCTCATAATGCCTGTACCATCGGAGACTCTTTGATAAACTCAGTGTCGAAGGTCAATTATCTTGGTGTCACCTTTTCCTCTGATCTGTCTTGGTCTTCCCACGTTTTATTGTTATCAAAGAAAGTTTTCCGTCTGACCTATTACATAAAGAGACTGCATGCTCTTGGGATTACTCGTCATTTACTCTTACAATTTGTCGATTCTTGCATATTACCTATTATTCTTTGCTGTTTTCCATTATTCTTTCCCGGGCTTTTGAGGAAAGACTTTGCTGTTTTGCGGAGAGTGCAGAAGGCAGTTGGCAAGATGTGTGGTGAATCTTTCGAGGTCATAATTAATATGGTTGTGGATAGACATTTAAAATCATGCAAACTCCTGGCAGGTGTTATTTTATCAGATACTAACCATCTCCTTCACTCTTATCTTCCTCCTTGTATATCTTCTGGTAGAACGAGACGTAATTAAATTAAAATCCATGCACGCAAGGAAAAGTATAAAAGTTCTATAATACCTAACCTAGCAAATATACTCTGTGACGAACAGGTTGTTAGAATTAACATGTCTTTAATTTTAAAAAGTATGTACGGTTTTTGGTTTCTTTTTTAAAAAAAAACTTTTCTTTATTTCTTTTTTATTTGTTACTGCCTTTTTGTTCGTTGTTCAGTAAGTAACTTGTTGAAATACCCTGTGCTGAGAATTCTATATAGTACCAAAATATAATATTGAATAAAGCCATTAATAATAATAATAAATATGAGAGTTATGTTTGATAAGTTCATTCCTCAATTATCGAAAATATTGTAACTCGTATATGCTTATTTCTATTATTAAAATAAAGATTTTGTTTCTGAACTAATTAAACATGTTTCTCACTCCCGTTTTATTTTGAAGTGGTTTCTCTATATTACGTTTAAGATGTTTGAAATACTAGATTAGCGTTGGGACAGGTATGATGCAAAGAACCATATGTAGAATAAATGCTTGACAGAAACATACTTCCCGTAAACGTAAGTCTTAAACTTCACGGGCTGTGTCACATTACCGCCCTAGAGTTTCTTGTCAGATATATAGGTTACAAGCACGTATAATTCGCGATTGAGTACTTACTCGATTTGGATGGAAGTACAAGTGCAAGACAAAATCGGCGACTCATTATCCTGTTAATTGCAAGCTAATGGTCAGTGCGGGTCTGGCGCCTTTGCTTTGATGATTATCGGCAAACTGTGTAACATTCATTGAACTGCCTGATGAATAATTTGATTAGGGGTCAATGACATTTTACTAACTTTAATTAAGTGTGGAGATAGACCTGACAAGCTTATTTTGTAAATAGTTTTTAATATTATTTGTACTTATTTTTTCAATCTTTCACTGCATGTATATTTATCATTAAATGACTGTAATTGTTGTTTTAGTGAATGACCTTGAACACATTTTCCGTTGTGTAACTAATAGCATGACATACTGTGGCTTGTTCACAAATACACTGCTACACACATATCCCTCGTTCTATTTTCGTTTGTGATTGAGTTAACTGAAATCGAAATTAAATATTACCTACATTTATAGACTGAGTGGGAATATACCATACCTTACATTAGATTACACTACTGGAGAGTTCGTCAACCTGATTGGAATTACCAAACATTTATAATTGTGGACTTACAGTACCAGACTAAAGCTGAACACGCATCAAGTTGGTGGTCTTAAATAAAGTTCAAATTTTTTATTGCATTTGTAACAATTAAATGGTTTATATTAATATTACTATTGATCCTTAGTAACATTGTTGATACTTTTCACGTTTATACATTGTCTGTTCCATCAGATAAGAAAGATTAGTTCAGCGAAGAGTTCCCTTTTCGGCGAATCCATTTTCAAAGCTGTACAATCGCAAATTTATATGCATATTTTAACAGGATGATAATTATACTGATAATAAACTTCTGTTAGGCATATTGACTGTGAGTTTAAATAAACAAAGATATTAAAAAAACTTTTAAAAACAAGGAAATTTTAATGACCAAGGGATAGATAGAGAAATTATCATTGGGAAAGGATAACTCGGCATGATAAATGTTGAAATTGAGATTAAATATAATGAAGATGGTCGTGGAAACAAAATGAACCAGTTGGGGGTAGAAAATTTAAGAGGACGATGTAGGGTGAAGCAGATGGCTGCAAAGGAAGAAGAGTATGAAGAAAAGGAGAAACTAAAAGTATAAAAATAAAAATCATAAGACATCAGGACCATGGTAAAAGAAGAGGTTTTAAAAATCGCTTTTGCACACACAATTCTGGTCTTTCCAGATGTATGGCTAATGCTTAATCAGTGCAAAGAAAATGCAGTATAATTTTTCAGGAGAGACTTCTACTTACTTGTAGATGACTTTGAACGCAGTTTTTGTCTTGATTGAGTGACCTGTGTCCACAAGATGTTCTACTACTGAGCTCCTTATTGAGCCGCTTCCTCTTCTTTCTAGCCATGTCGGACGATGTTCTTGAATTCTACTGGATGAAGTACGCATCGAATGACCTTTATACCTAGCTCCACATGAGCGAGTAAATTGATAAATGTACATTGAGTTGGTCAGATGCGATCATTTATCTTTAAGATTATTGGTGAACAATGATCGGCTGGAGAATACCATTCGCAATGTTATTGAGGAAATGTTCTTTTTAGAAAATCGGAAATTTTCCTTTTTAGGTTATGTGTGGCTCTATCACCCTTGAATTCGATGTTCATGTATAAAGTTTTCTTTTCTACTGTAGTTATCTCTGTCTTCGGTTTTATGTTCTTATCAATGAATGTCGAAGCACATCCGTTTTTAATAAGTATCTCCTTCAAGTGGCACAATTTTTCATCTATGACTTCTTGACTACAGATTCGTCGTATTCTTGTTGCGAGTGTTATTATTAGGTTTTTTTCGACTAATGGGAACCAAGCTGTGGAAACTTGATAGTTGGCGATTCCACATGTGTTTCCTACAGATAGATCTTTTTAGAGTACCATCTTCCTTTCGTGTCATTTCCACGTCAAGAAAATGAATATTTTGTTTGTTTTCAACTTCCAACGTGAATTTTATTGTTGGGTGGCAATTATTAAATGTCCGCAGAAGATGACTGAAGTCATATTTGTTGTCACAAACGTAAACTGTACATTGCGAGTGCACTGCAGTAATTGTTCCTTTAAATAAACATCCGGTATTTCGATGTTAATCTCATTGTTGTTTACGTACTTGCAGATAAATTTAATGGTCTCTGTAAGTGAAACATTAGTAAATAATGATTCGATAGAGATAGCATAATTTTGTCATTTACATTCACTTCTTTTGTATGCTCAACAAATTCAAAAGTATCACGTATGGAGTGTTAACAGTTGCGTTTTCTAACGAATTCTAAGAAATTTGCCAGCCACTTTGCTATAGAGTGGTAAAGGGACTCTGACATATCGAGAATAGGTCTGCTGATATGTAAGGAATTTGAAGCTCGCAGTGGCAGACATTACTTTGAAAAAACTAGCTTGTAAGCACTTCACTTTGTAGGTGACCGCTTATGTCATGCTATACACCATTCGCTGGACATAGCTGTTTAATCATCAAAACGAAGGCCCTGCTCGTCGTGGAAAATATCCTTTGATAACTAGTCAGCTTAGACATTAAAAGCTATTATATGGATGTATATAGTTTAAATATGCCTTCTCACTAATACATCCAAAAGGCCTTTATTTTTCTCAGAAGATATTCCAACTATTGTCAAACAATGACGAGTCCGACTTCTTTTCGTGACTATTTTATTCGTTCCAAGCTACTTGTTTCCACATGGAGTGTTTGTAACATCCATTTTGAAGATTTTGTGTGTTGGTGAAAATCCCTCCATGTATATACTTTTACTTTGTTCCTATTGATCCCCTTAGTTGTACATTGTTGTATTTTGTTCACATATGAATTGTTAATACTTTTTTTTATTATAGTTTTTGTTTTTATTACACATTCACTAAGTTTGTGTTTCTTCCTGAACTGCATCTGCGTTGTTTTACTTGAGACTTGTTCTTAGCGGTAGCCATATTGATTTGTTCCTCCTTTTGTGTGTGATCTATCCAGTCAGGAGAGAATAACGTTCATTTGTTGTGACTGGTAATTTTTCCTCATCTTCTATCAACTTCTTTATTTATTGTAATCTAGATTTAATTGATTGAACAATCATTGGTTGAATAGCC